TAGGTACTTGTAACAAAAATAGTTATATACGCTCCCAAAATTTGTATTGATGATCGTAAATAATGACAGATGCAAATGTGTTTTTAAGAGCTTTCACAAAAAATARTGTTTGTAACATATCGAGTTGCAGAATTAAAATTCCATCATGACTGACKTCTGAGAATTAAACTTTTTTGTCGGTGACGGAGTCAGTTTGAATTTGAAAGTAAATAAGTCAAAATAACATAAACATGACAAGAGTAAAAAATGAGGTTATTAATGTTAAGGTTGTTTTACATTATGAAAATGACAATACTGCCCGAAATTTTAATTCCGGAATTGTACCTAAAACGTTTTTGGGAATTCATCGGCTATTCAGCAGCGTTGATTTGTCCGCAAAATAGTAATTTTTATTACAAGTACCTAAGATACAGTTTTTGCAGACGAATCGTTGCTGTTTCTGGACGAGGCGAAGCCGAGTCTGGAATAGCAGATGAGTTTTAAGGTACGTGTAAGAAAGAACATTTTTTTTTTGTTAAAGCCCCCAAAACACAAATTCACACCTCTTATTAGTTAAAAAAATTTCGCCACGATAATAACCAATTTTATTTTTTAGTCCGGAGAAACGGTTTTCGGAGACTGAGTACCCACATTTTACGTACTATTTTAATTGATTGCGGAAAAGACTCATTTTAGAGATTTTAGAGTCTGAACAGCTGTTTTCGAGAGCGTATACAAAAAAAAAATGTATTTTAGGTACTTGTAACAAAATAACTAGTGTATTTTTTTATGAAAAGCAGCAGTTTATAAATATCAAAAACATTATTCCTTTCAATAACAATTTCTAATTAGCTATTGTACGAAAAAATAAGATTAAAATGTTAATGCCTACTGTATTTTTTTCCCATTTAATAACTAAAACAATAGATTGTTATGATTCTTTACACTAAATAGTACATGATTTCAATTATACATCAATTTAAATATTTAACTCTCATTTTTAAAGTATCTGTAATTTATTGAATTAATTGCACAAAAAAAGCAATCTCAATTTAGGGCACAAGCTTCTAAAGCTCTCAAAAATTTCAAAATGTTTTTCTTGTAAAAACTAATGCAAACACTATATTTTTTCTATTTACCGAACTTCCCCGTTTCCTCTTGCCCAACTTAATCTTCAACGTAGGCACCTTGGACGCCTTCTTCGAGGATTTCTTTCCTCTCCCACTCCTCTTCTTCCTATTTTTCCCATCATCATCGTCATCATCTTCATCATCCTCGTCAAACGCCTCCGATTCCGGCTTTTCCTTTCTAGGTCTTCCAGGTTTTGGATACGAATCAGATTCGGCCGAAGACCCAACATTCGCATCATTGTTTTCTGATTGCAAATTAGGATTGATATTTGAAAATTCTCGCCACTTTGCCGCAACTAACATCATCAGTTTCGACATAGGAACCTAAAAAAGAAAAGTATTGGCAAAAGGCGAAGCCATAAAAATTGTTACACACCTTTGGATTTTCTTTAGTGAGCAAAGGGCGCACATGTTGTTGAAAAAGTTTGTAAGTCGTGAGATTCTGGAAATCGGATTCTGTGTACTCAAGCTCGACGTCGGTTAGGCCGAAAGTCGAACACACTTCTTCAATTGTGGGCATTCCACTTCCGGTTGAAGTGTTCTCCGCTGGAGTTGAAGGCGTTGATGGGTGTTTAGTCGAACTCCGAGATTTACGACCCTTTTTACTAGTGGCGTAGTCCGAGTCGCCGGCCCCGTTATCTTCATCCAAGAGGAAATCGCTCTCCTGTATAAATTCATTTTGTTGGTTATGAAATCATTGTCGATGTAAAAATCTTACGTCTCCGCTGTCATTTCTTCGTTTTTTCTTTTTCTTCTTTCCTTTCTTCTCCTCGCCTCTTGCTTTTCTCTTCTTTCCTTTCTTCTTCTTTCGTGCATCTTCCGGCTCATAATCATCATCCTCGTCCTGTAATTTCTAATTTAGACAAAAAATATGATTTAATTAAATTTTTAAAATTACTCCATGTTTGATTGGAGCTTCGTCGGACTCCGGCTCGTTTTCGACGGGGTCTCCTGCGGCTTCCTCCTGTGCCTCTTCTTCCCCTAATTAGCAAAAATAAAATCATGTGGATGCCATGTGGACAGTGGTCAGCGTGATCATAACAAAATTTTGGAGGGAAAATATGAAATTTCTAACCCCAAAACCTCCGATACATTTTACGCGGAAACCTCTAATTTGCAATCTGCCAATCTCTTTGTTTGATGGCCTCCATTTTGTTAAGGGTCAGGATATGCCCGCGCGCTGTCACAAAAATAATGAAAACCTGCGTCCCCCTTTCCCCGCGCCTAATATAACTGATTACCAGGTTATAATTATTCATTTTTGCGGCTCTCCGGCCGCGATTTGCCCCCATTTGGGGTGTCAGAGGCCGAGTTAGAGGCACAAAGAGCGTAATCGAACGGTATTTAGCTTAATTTCGGGTACTTGTAAGTAAAACACATGAATATCAAGTCGGCTTAGATTTACACCTATGCACCGGACGTAAAAGAAACTTACCGGCGTAAGAGTCCTCGACTTCTTCGTCGGAAGCCATCACACAGGACACTTAACGATAATTCCACTAATTGTTCACTTTTTATTCAAGAAAATCCGCAAAAAACAAAACTTTACACGGCTTTTCTTGGATAGTTGTTCTTTCCCTCACTTCACTCTTATCCCCTTTCCTAGACAATGTTGCCAACTGCGCATGTGTCAAACGAATTCTCGAATGAAATAAACTACAATGCGCTCCATCCTTTTCACTCTCATTCATTTTTCCCCCAAATACAAATGTTTGTGATTTTTATAAATAAAATGGAGTTTTGAATGCTTTGATACAGCAAGAAAACAAAAAAAAATAACATGAACCATTTATTTCAAAACAATTAATTCAATGGAAAGTACGACTGCAAAATCCCCTCATAAATCACATGATCCTGCTCCAGAAAAATACAAAAAATTATTCTCTCAACTTCAGTGTTATTTTCCAAAAACTTCCTCACTTCTGAGGCAGCAATGTGGGCTGCAGGCTCATTCGGATACCCATAAATCCCTGTTGAAATACATGGGAAAGCAATAGTTTGCAATTTCTTCTCACACATGATTTTAAGACAATTTCTATAGCACTGTTGTAAGAGTCCCGGTTTTTCGCCCCTCGGGCCCACTGTGTGAATAACATCTGCAATAAATAAGTAATATTCGATCAAGCTTGAGATCCGACATACATTTAGCCGGCAATTTGTAAGCCCCTGTTATGACAGCGTCCCCAGTGGGGCACCCATGGAGAGTTTTGCATTCTGCAACCAAATTGGGGCCTGCAGCTCTGTGAATAGCCCCATCGACACCTCCGCCACCTAACAGGGACGTATTAGCGGCGTTTACGATAGCATCAATCTGAAACACAAATGTTATGTTGTGTAAATAAATAAATGAAATTACCTCTAATGTTGTGATATCGCCCTGAAAAATAGAAACTTTTTTGCGTAGAGAACTATTGAGAGAACTATCGATTTGGAAGTCAGTCTTTCGAGGGATTTGTGAGGCGAGGGTCGCTTTTTTGGCATATTCTTCCCATGTTGGGATGTCTGATATTTGTTTGAATTCCTTACTGGCATACAATTTTCTTTTAGCGTCCAAGGACATAGACAAGAATTTTTCTTTTTCTACTTTCCAGTCGGTCATTTTTAACTTTGTAGCACTTGCCAAAGCCCGTATTGGTGCTTTTACTGCAACAGTTATGACCGTTACAATTTTTTGACAAGAAAACATTTTGTTAGGTTACATTTCCGCTGCATGTAGACAACCAACAATACAAATTATTATGTTATTTATTATAAAAAAAAAAACGCTAAAATAAAGTAAAACTAAATAAATTAATAAATTCATTGACAATTTTATTACGTACGTAATATGTACCCTGCGTACACACCTAAAAATTACATTGTAGCAAAATAAAAATAAAAAATAAATGTTTAAGGTTTTAAAAAAATGAAAAAAATGGGTGGGTTTTCTGCGTTTTACGCTTTTATGTCGTGTTTGCTTACATAATGTGTTTATATGATAAGGTTATGTAGTGATCTAATGATTACTAGATAAATAGAGGTAAATTATGCAAGCGCTACGGTTGGTCTAATATACACACTTCGCCCTTATTTGCATTAGCAAATTTTTAGTAATTCTCTTATAGGGGAGAATCTTTATCGTCAACTAATGATAAAATCCCTGATATAGCAATAACAAAGTTGCCCGGTACGAAGCTTAGTTTAATTTATCTCCCAAGCGCGTTTCGCACGTCAATTTATCAAGCGTGAACCATCGCGAAAACTAGTGTTATTTTGATTTGTGGGTGATTAAATTAACAGTATATATAAATTAAGTTCTAAGGACTAAGATCTCCAGATGTTATTTGAAAGTGTAAACCCAATTGTTCCTATTTTAAATTGATTACTTACTATTTCACATTCTTCAATGTTTTCTAAGGATGTGATTAAAATTATATATCGATAAGATAAAATATTGAAACGTTAAGTTTCGTCAAATAAGATATGTACTTAATACAACGTTTAGAAATAGTTTATTTCTCATGAGCCATCTGTATAATGTGAATCGAAGTTGAAAGTTTTCAATTTACCTATAAATCTCTTAAATTCCTAAACATTGCTTTTAGACGAATTTATTTTATTTTTATCATGAATTCTTATTCTTAGACGAGATTTGTTTAAGTCTAGTCTTTCACGTGTCAGGAAGGTATTTGCTCTAACTTATACCTACAATGTCTTTAATTTTTCGATTTTAGCATAAAGAAAAATGTGTTGGATCAAAGTGATGTTTGTTATGATTATAGTAATTCAATTGGAAATCGTTCAAAACAAGGTAGCTATTAATTCATTTCCTTTGTTCACATTGTATAAATTAAAATGTTATAACATCCAAACTGCGTGAATCAATCACTAACTTTAAATAACGTGCCAACAAATTTAAACTTTGTGGAGCGTATTAAAAATTGCGTATTTCAAGACCTCTTTAAACAAATAATTATAGCTATGGATTATGTGATTATGCTAATATTGCTAATTAGTATATTTTCGTGAAAACTTAACGCCGGGAAACACTCAGAAAGGCAATGAGTCACAATTTGATAGACTGATAAATTAATGTGAATAATGAATGAAAATAATTATTTTAAAAATATGTCAGATATCCAGCCATATGGCTAAAGATAAATCCTGTTTAATTTGGCAAATTTATTATTTTACAGGCTAGTGCTGATAACACTTCGACGACAGGTAAGAATTTCGAGAAAATCATAATCTTTTTAAATCAATATGAATTTATCACGTTTTCAAAATATTTAGCTTTTATTCTATGAAAGTACACAAGAAATTTTCGCACTTATTAACGACGTTCAATTCACATCAAAGGTCGAGTTGACCAGTAAACCAAACAAAATTAAATAAACAAACAGTTCTTTTTAGAAATTTCAAGGAATAATTTTTTTAGAAATAATTAACATTAGCACGTCTGTTCCCACACACAAATGTGATGGAATAAAAGCGGCAGGATGTCTCAATGGAACTATTCTTAATTTAAGTTTAACATATCATCCCTCAAAGCTGACCAAATGGCTGGTTAACAGTGTAGGATCAAAGAACTGTTGCAAAGTTGAAGTTTTCGATAATGTTTTAATTGTTGACATGAGCTGTAATTATTCTTCCTGTATTTATAATGTTTCAACAGTTGAGGGAAACGGTCTAGATTTTCTGATAAAAGGTAAATATTTGTGAGGTGATTTGTTTGTTTTAATTTTTAAATCCTAGGATCAAAATTCGTAGAAATGGATGTCGGAGTATGTCCCGAAACAAGCGAACTTTGCGTCAACTACGGCAACACTTTTAACATGAGTTTGGGTAAATATTCTGCATGACGTAATTTTTACTTTTTACAGTTGTATTTTGAGATACAATGAAATCTTGTTCCAATAAAGTGTACTTTATGTTTTTAGGGTGCTGATTTGAGATTTAAATGTTTAAAAAAACCGTTTTAATTTCTATTTTCATTATTTTATTTTAATTTTTTTACAAATAAATGTTTAAAACAAAAAAAACTAACCTAATAATTTTCCATTTTTTTTTAATAAAATACACGAATGCTATAGAAAAAAAATAGATTATACACGACTAACGTATCGACGCTAAAAAAAGCTCTCAAAAATAATATATACAATTTTATTGTCAAATAACTTTTAATTTTTTTAGAAAATAATAATTTTGGCAAGTATTAATTGCTCAGTACAGTGTTACCTAAATGAAGATCACTGACGGTTAGCAAGCAGTTTTTTTATACAGGTGTATCAGAACTTGCACTCCATAGAAAAATTTGAAATACTTAAGATAAGATACCAGGAACGTGAAAAAAATGTTTAAAAAATTCTACCTGTCAAAAAATTTTGACATTTATGTTTTGACATTTGACATTTTTTATATKTGTTTAATGATGCTGATGATCTTATTGATCTTGTATATGTTTTTTTATAATTATTTAGTGAAGGGACAAAATGTAACTAATAAAGTCCACAAATAACATTAAACAGAGTTACAATTTAGGATACAGCTTCCTTGCTTCCTCTTCTAATAGCCTTTAGCAAAAAAACTTYAAAAATTATTTTTCCAACGGAAATAAATAAGAGTCAAAGTGCAAAATTTAAACTCTCATAACTTCGAAAATTTTGTACATTGATTTTTTGTAACATTTTGTCCATGATCCTAGTATCTTATCTCACTTGTAATTTTTCTATAGAGCGCGAGTTATGGCGCACTCTGTACGTCAAAAAACACTTAAAAGATTCGGTTCATTTAATTCCAGTTTGTTTTACGAGTAAAAATCGGTATTTTATTTATCTTATTCCCGAGGGAATAAAGTACTAGATTATTAGTCAATTAGTTACTTTATTCCATGCTCGATTCCATGTTGAAAGGAAATCAATTTTAATAAATAAAAAACTGTTTTTTTAATGTTAGCTACATGAGCCATTGAAATATTGATGAGATGAAAAAAGTGAATTTTCTCAAAATAGCCCAAATGAAAGTTAAAACAGATTTCAAATTCAGATTCAGCACGAAATGTCAAACCGAGTGACCAAAACAAATTTTTAAAAGATTTTGTACGATGTTCTTTTTTTGAAAGAATTAAAAAAAGCGCTATTGAAAATAAATAATWATTATTTACTGTTGTTATTTTAATTCAACATTTCATTGATTCCATAACGCTATAATAATACTTAATTAATAATAATACTTATTTATTATACAAGAGGATAAAGAAATTGTTTATCTACGAGTGAAAACGTTAAGTTTACGAGTGACGAAGTCACGAGTGGGCTTTTTTCACGAGTAGATAAACAATCTTTATCGTCGTGTATAATATTTCGTTTTTATTTGTACTCACCTACCAGAATTTCTTGAAATATAAACAGTAGATAAAAATTACTTTATTTCACTATACGATAAAAGACTATTTTATCTACTGAAATTAGTTGATAAAAGCACTCTTTAACATTGAGTACAAAATAAAAGTTTTTTAATACTTCCAATGGGTCCTGGTCTCATTCAACTCAGATTTTCGAGACTTCACTGTACAGGGTGTCCCAAGTTTTACTACTATACTGCTATATGCTACTCAATATAAGTTATAATAATTCAGGGTGTAAACTGTTTTAGGAGAAGAATGTCCATACTTCCAAAACTATTCCATAAATACCATGCTAAATGATAATAAAACAAATAAGTCTTACCTCTATTTGAATATAACTTTGGATGTTGTTGATAAAAGCATCTTCACTGTGGAAGTGATGTCAAAATATGAAGATGAAAATTGTAAGCTTACGTCGAGTAGGAATTTTTACAATGCCACTGTGAGTCTTGGGAGTCACAAAGTAACAAAACACTCATTTGAAATTTCAGGACGAAATTATTATACCGAAAGCACTAATGGATTATGATATTATACCCAACTGCGATCTTGATATTGTTATAGAGTTTCATGAGACTGATGACTGTGTCGTCACTTACAAGGTACCATCAGAAATAGAAGGATATTGTGACGAGGGGCATAAACCAATTTCGAAAATTTTAAGTGTTGAACCACACGATGATAACAAGTTCAAAATTCATTGGGATCCAGGTACTAAAGCGGCGAATAATAAACCTTATCACCTAACAAAAGTCAACTTTTTTTAGTAAGTAAAGTAAGATTTTTGAAGTTGGTTTAACAAGAATTTTCAGTTCATCAGCGGAAATCTTTTCTATGCTTGTTGAATTTGTCGGAAAACCTAATATAAACTCGGATACAGCTATAGTGATTATGAAAGTGTTCGAAAATGAAAATTACACTTTACATGGAACATTTATAAATAATTATACTTGTTTGGGCGAAGATAAATTTTACTTTACAGGTAATGTGATTTTTTGATACCTGTACTGAGATTTTAAAGTGTTTTTCTATTTACTTTGTGTTTCCAACACTAAAATGGTGGGATATTTATAGTAGATGACGAAAATTTTAATTGTTAACTGCAATGTTACCACCACACATAATAAAAATTTCTGAAGCAATTTTCCCTTATTTCTAAAGTACGAAAGTAAAAGATAAATTCACATCATAAAGCCCTTAGAGCCTTTATTTTATAATTTATTTTAGCTCCTCCTCGTCAAAGTTTTCATCTTATGTTCTTCGTCGTTTTGACCCTTGTTTTAGTCGTGATGGCCTACTTGCATAAACATATTTTAAAATATGTGAAAAAGTTACTAGGATTGATAATTCCTAGATACAGATACACATTTCACCAAGATGATGTTGCTTTACAGCCGTTACAGTAAGTAAAATACTAGAAAAAATTGTCTTCTATTAGTTTCTTTACAGAAACAGTAATTTTGTTCCCATGAGCATCAACACTCAATACACTCCAATCGAATTTTTGGTAAGTGTTTTTATAAATCGACGAGGATATTCGTAAAGTGTTCCAGAGAGGAGATTTCGATGAATTTGAAATTCCCCGAAATAAGATAATTATTAAAGAAATCATCGGAATGGGAGCTTTTGGTAGAGTGTATTCAGCTAAAGCTCTGGAAATTGGAGGATGTGAAGGTTACCAAATGGTGGCGGTAAAAACTTTAGGAGAAGGAGGTTAATAAAAACTCTATTTATTTTTTCACTAACTTCGATTTTTTTAGAACAAATAACAAGAGAAGCAGCTGATGATTTTAAGGCAGAAATAGAAATTTTCAAAAAAATTGGTAAACACCCGAATATTGTTTCTCTTCTCGGTTGCTGTACTTTGGAAACACCCTGTATGATGGTAATGGAATTGGTACCATGCGGTGACCTCAAAAAATATCTCCTGGAGTTGCGAGAACAATGGTTTGCGGAAAAAAATAAACAAGTATTTTTCCCAGAGTAAGTTAAATAAAATAAAAATCTTCAATTCTAACTGTGATAGGTAGCAGTGACAACAGTGATGGAGCGTATATTGAACCACCAAGTCCTACCAGTGTTACTTCTGTAACCACAAGCAGGTTACCATCAACTTCCGAAAGTAAGTTTTTTAGAAATCACATGTTCTCGTATTAAATCATGCAATCTTAAAATTTGATCTAGATACAATCAATTAATTGCAAGCTTAATCAACAAAAAATAATAGTACCAACTGTACTTCATAAAAGTGTATGTACATACCTACTCGCAAAAAATGAATGCTCRGCCTATTTTATTACTTACCTATTTAAGTTAAAAATACTACATACGGGATGCGTCAAAACTCGCGCCCTAGAGAAATATGTAAGATATCAAAGTGCAAAATTTAAACTCTCAAAACTTTTTATGGATAAAAATTTTTTGAACATTTTTTCCGTGTTCCTGGTATCTTATTTGAAATCTTTCTCTGGGGCACGAGTTCTGACACACCTGTATATACCTACTTACTTTCTTCTTTAATATAGATTTGTCTTAATTAAGTAATAATATTAGAAAATCGATAAGCAGAAACTATTTTTTTTTATTCTTTATTAGTTATTTATTCATGTTCGCTCAAATGTTTTGAGTTTTGATGATAAAGTTTAATTAATCTAAGTACTTATCTAAGTACCTATCTCGGTAAGAAGTGTAAAAGTWGATAAAGGTTAGTTTTGAAATAATAGGCAAAATTTTACAAGGTCATGATTCATGTCATACAAAACAAAAAAGTCTTAATAAACTTTTTCGAAACTGGCAACGTAAATTGAGAATAAAAATTTCTGTTAACTCGCTGTTCACATCGTTGTATTTTTCTCAATAACAGTACGAGTTACCAAAAAGTTTAATAAATAAAAGCTTACTCAATGGGCAAATAATGAATAATAAAATACATACAACGTAAAAGAAGTTTAAAAATGCTTGTGAAAAACACACCACACTTTGAAACACTCACTCTAAAATTTTAATTGAGTCACTGTATAAATAAAATTGTAAAATTATTCAGGTTAAAAAAATCCAAAATTGTTATAAATACGGCAATTAGTGTACCTAGTTATTTTCCATTTTCCATTTCTTGTCATTTAATTTGGATAGAAATATGCTGCAACTAATTAATTATTTTCATCCTTAAAAAAAATTAAACGTTTAAAAAAATGTTTGTAGACCTTTTGAATGTACCTTTTGAATAGAAAGAAGTATACAGTGAGCGGCAAAATTATGGAATAATCTTATTTATTAAAACTGAAAATATTTTGTTTTGGCGAAAATGCTCGAACAGGTCGAAAAAATACAAAATTTTCTACCTGATTTAAAATTGTATGTTTTTTTTGTTGATATTATTTCACTTTTTTTCGAAAACTTTATGTAATATTTACAGGGTCACCCTAACCACAGGGCTAAATGGGCTACAGTCCCGGGGCGCTGAAAATTTATTACACAAAAATTAAGACAACTAGAACATTTTTTTTGTTACTGCAAAAAAAAAAGTACAAACTTTAAGGTTATAAAATTTTTTTGTGTGTTGCATTTGTAAAGGTAAAAAAATTAAGAAGTTTGTTAAAAGTTCCATACTTTAAAAATTTTGAATGGAACACCCTATTTATTGATTTTGTATCTAAAAGTTTGAAAGCAATTAAAAGTGTATCTTTATATACTTTATAAACTTATTTCAAAAACTGAGCAAAATCGATTAATAATTAAAAAGTTAGCTTTTAAAGACATGTTGTAGTAAAAAATTGATCCAAGAATGTCAAGCAGAATAATGTTTTTTCTTTTTACATCATAAGTTTGTATTGTAACGTATTTTTGACACAAGCTGTATAGTTSAAAATAATGTCAGGCGGTGTACTACATTAGTAAGTATTTATCAATTGCCTATATAATTTTTTTTTAATTTTAATATTTGAAGGTAAATAATGGACTTTGCCAACTCACTAGTATATTGACTCTTTAATTTTTGTAAAAGCTTACCCTCTCCTCGCTTTCCTTTCCCTGTATTTTCTTATGAGGGGCGCATTATTTTTAGTAGCGCGAAATATCTTAAGACGGCCCTGAATATTTAATATTTTGGTGTTGTCATTTCGATAATTAAAAAGATGTCTGTGACGTCATTACTCAAAAACCAAAAGGTGTAAAAGTTGAACATTGTGTATCTACTCCTATACTTTTTAAAAAGAAAATTGACCGATTCAAGCATTATTGCCAAAATAAAATATTTTCAGTTTTAATAAGATTATTCAATAATTTTGCCGCTCACTGTATGTATATGATTAGTAAGTGATGTGAACATTAACATATAAAAAAATCAATATAATTTGTTAGATTTAAACTTGACCATAAACAGTACTTTTTCGTCGCATTAATACTCTTTCTTTTTTTAGCTGTCTTTACTACTTTGGAAGACCCCTTGACCCCGCTCCTCGCAAACTACAAGCATGCCCTTGAGAAGGTCCTGGACCACAAGGAGCTCCAAAACTTCGCTCTCCAAATCGCCAGAGGTATGGCTCATCTTGAGAAAATCCCCATAACTCATCGCGACCTCGCCGCTCGCAACATCCTAATCAACGAATTTAAAACTTTAAAAATCTCCGATTTCGGAATGTCCCGAAGTGGTGTTTACATCAACCAAAGGACGAAAAAGCTTCCCTTGCGCTGGATGGCTCTTGAAGCCATCATCAACCAGAAATACGATAGTAAAAGTGACGTTTGGTCTTTCGGTGTAGTATTGTGGGAAATCGGGACTCTAGGAGCTTTCCCTTACGAAAACGTACAGGATTCGATGATTCAGCATTTCTTGCAAATGGGAAGAAGGTTGGAAAGGCCGGAGATTTGCACCGATGAACTCTATTCGTTGATGAAGCAGTGTTGGGCCACGGATCCGAACCAGAGACCCACGTTTCAAGAATTGGTCAGTGCGCTGGATGTGAAAGCGAAAAAAGTTTATGTGAACTTTAAACAACTTAATCCGTATTATGTTTTTCCACCGAGTGATGCACTTGTGGTTAAAGAAGTGCCGATTACTATTAAAAAAAAGACACTTGCAGAGAAAGAAGTAGAAGAAGAAGAAGAAGAAGAGATGGAGGAAAAAGAAGAGACAAACCGGCCATAATTGTGATTTGTTTATGTGTGATACAACAAAACAAAATACATCTAATTAGTTTCATAATTAGTTGCCATTTTTTAACTCGAGCTTTAACGTGAAAAAAAGATAAATTAATGATAAAATAAGTAATTTATTATTAGTAATAAAAAAAAAATGAGGAATTTAATAAAAAATACTTTCTCAGTAATTAATATTCATTTCAACAATTATAATTATTTTATTTTCAAACAAAAACAAAATTTACTGTACAAGGTGAATACAGGTTGTCCCAGCAAYTTGAAAAGTCCATAATGACCTTTAAATGGTAAAATTAAAAAAATTGTATAGGACATTGATAGATACTCAACTAGTGCATCACCTAAAATTATTTTCAACCATACAGCATGTCCCAAAAATAAAAACTTGTGTTTTAAAAAAAAAACAATGTTTTTACGCTAAACTCTTATTAGTCGATTTTGCTTATTTTTTTTAACGAAAACGTGCGTTTTTTCGAAATTTATTACACCAAAACTAAGACAGCTACAACAAATTTTTTCTTGCTTCTACGAAGAAGAAAGTACAGAACTTAAAGCTGTAGCAATTTTTTAGTGTTTTGCAGTTGTAAAGATTAATAAATTAAGAAGTTTGTTGAAAGTTAAATAACTTAAATAATTTAAATTGAACACCCTATTTTTATTTTTGCATCTAATAGATTGATAAATTGTCTATCAAAAAAAGTAAACTTTTAATGTCTAGAATTGATAAATGAAAAGATATTTAACATTCAATGTTAATTGTAGCAACAATGCCTCTCAATATCTGAGCATTGTTGATGATGCTATGGCAACCATAGTAATTACACCACGGATCACTTATCCGTTGATTTATCCAGAGATTGTAATAGTCGTTATAAATACTGAAATTCGAATTATTTCATTGAAAAATAAAGAATAATGGATTCAGTTTAACACCAATGTGATTATTAAGTAATATTTCTTTCATCTCTTGTGCAACTGTGCACTTTTTGGCTTCTGAAACAATAGTATAGTATTTTTTTTTAATGTTTAACGTTAAATATCTTTTTAGTTATTGATTATAAACACCTAAAAGTAAATAATTTTAGAAAGACAATTTAATAATATTTTAAATGCAAAAACAATAAATAATGTTCCATTCAAATTTTTTAAGTTAATGAACTTTTAACAAACCTTAATTTTTTATCTTTGCTAATGTAACACACTAAAAAATGTTACAACCTTATAGCTTGTATCTTCTTCTTTGCGGTAGTAAAAAGAAATATTTCTAAATGACTTAGTTTTTGTGTAATAAATTATTAAAAAATGCATGTTTTCGTCAAAAAACCGTCTTATTTTTAAAACTAAACAAAATCGACCAATCAAAGTTTAGCTTAAAAACATTGTCACAAAAATCTACATACAAAAACTAAGAAACATATGGTATTRCATTCAAGTTTGTATTGTAACTTATTTCTGAGACACGCTGTAGAGTTGAAAATAATTTTTGGCGATGGACTAGATCTATCAATGTCCTATATATATATATTTTATTTTACCATTTAAAGGTCACTAATGGATTTTTTTAACTCGCTGGGACACCTGGTATGTACCGGGTGTGGCATAGGTTACGTGTATTGATAAATCGCGACTTCTGATTAATTAAAACTATATACGTAATTAATTATTGATAGGGTATATTTTGAGACTTTTTCTAATTTTTTTTGTTAATAAATGACGGTTTTGTGTGTTTTATGAATATTTTCTGTTAATTTTCCTATAAGGTTTTTATACTAAATGAATCTGTACCTGCTAGCGCATCAAGCTTTGATATCACAATTTCAAATTTTGACTTGCTTTTTTTATTTAAACACAAACCAGACCCGTGATTTACGACAAAATGGTATAATTTGCCAAAAAAAGAATCATTTACTGGTAGCCGACCACTTTGAAGGGTCTTTTTGTTGTAAACCTTGAAATCTTACCCTAAATTTACGATGGCACAAGTAGTCGTAGGAAATTTATTACTTGAACTAAGTGTAATTAAATCATTGCTTTGATCTGCTGCCTACGCGTTATTATGCCACAAATTACTATTTTTTAAAGTAAATAAGTCAAAATGAGATAAACATGACAAGAGTAAATAATGAGGTTATTAAAGTAAAGGTTGTTTTAGAGTTTACATTATGAAAATGATTGTAGTGCCCGAAATTTTAATTTCGCAACTGTACCTAGATAGTTGTATTCCTTACATCATAACCTTCAAGAAAAAAAATGGTTTTATAGTGGGTTGCCATTTAAAAAATATTTTTTTTTGTAGAACTCAAAAAAAAAATTCGAAAATTTTTATTTTTATAAAACATCAATTTTTATAGTTTAAGCAAGAAACGTTTGGTTCCATACTTTTTAATCACTTCTTGATATGTACCGCGTGTTATGTAAGAAAATCTCTTMGGTGGCGATTCCCACGTGTACGATTATTAATTAAATAGTTATTATTTTATTATAATTTGTTTTAAAGAAAGAGCTCTCCAAAAACATTCTAATCAAAAATTTGTCAATTTTTTTTCCTTCTCATTGATCACTTTCAAAAAGTTGTAACTTGCATATGTAAACATTAAGAAAAGAAAATACGTTTTAGCGTTAACAGTCTTGTAATATCTATTAAGACAACAAGAGTTTTAGACAGTTTAAAAATTGAGGTTGAGTGAGAATTTAATAGACTGAGATTTTTGAACTATAAAACTTGTCTTCAAAATTTTTTCCAACACAAATATTGGATCAGGAAATTTTTAGTGTTGGAAAAAAACATTTAAAACAATTTTATGCGAAATTGTTATTTTTTGGACTCACTGCTGTCACTTTGGTAATATACAAGTAAAAGTTTGTATAATACCACAAAGTTTTATAATAAATGTAGTACACAAATTTAAAACAGCTTTAATAATAATTACCACAATGCGTATGATTTTTCAACACAAACACACAAAATACGGGATTTCCAAATAGGTGAAATTTTCATCAAAAACCTTTTAAGATACGCAAGATTTTTATCAAAAAAGATTGAAATGGAACGAAACGACCTGAGATAAGACAATTGGAACCTCATTTCTTGCATAAACTATTTTTTTTTAATACATAAAAAGGTTTTGGTCATAATTTAATAAAAACTGAGCTCTAATGTYAACAAAGAGTGAACTAAATAACACACACTATTTACAAAGTGATCACCCTCAGGGAGAATTGAAACTAACAAAAAGGTTTCTACTTTGTCTTTTGGATGTCCTGGAAGACTTCTGAGACTTCTAAGAAATTCAAAAGACAAAGCMGAACCTTTAAAAAAGTCGGGGACTTACAAAAARAGTTGTAAAGATTGTGACCAAAAATATATTGGGCAAACTAGTAGATCAATTAACACTACATTAAAAAAATACATGGCACATTTAAAATTCTACAGAATAGAATAATCAAGCATTGCCCATATATTTTTAAAAAAGACCATAGGGTTGAAAGAATTCAAATAYTTAGGGTGATAAACAATTGTAAATTTCTTGACGCTTTCGAAAGTGTTAAAATAAGGATGGGTTTATGAATTCTGACATACGTTCCTCATCCCTCTATTGGTTAGTTAATGGCGGAAAAAAGAGAAAGCCAGAAAAAATTGTATTTACAGCAAAACCTTGTAACCTTCTTAGTTTTATTTTTAAATAAACGTTCGGTGTTTAGGTAAATAGTGCGTTATTTAATTCGTTACAGCAAGAAGTCCACAAGAAAAAAAATAGACTGAACTAAGTCAATTTGAGTATAATGTTACGATTTTCTAAATAACATTGAGCAAATAAGAAAGATTGTCCGTTCCCCCGATCAATTAGAATGCAACAGTTTACTGTAGCAGTTGTAAGTTATTTTCATAAAACATGGATACACTGAGAAAACAAATCACTTATTCTGAGCAAATACCTATCAGAATTGTAGGCAGAWTAAAAAGGAGTAAAGGGAATAAAAATAAAACACAGAAAATCTATTAATTTAATGTTTACTGCACAAAATATATTCATCGAACATGTTCGAACAACACTCGATTTACAGGTCAACTGTGATTTAAGGCATCCACGCTCGAAGCAGTCATGACTTGAAATAAAAACAACAAATAGTCTTCTGTACATTAAATAACGCTTAAGTCAATAATATAAAACATCAGGTGTATGGAATCAAATCCCGTACTCGAATCGTGTAAATTTCTTATATTTTTAACTAAAGGTAACTAAATTTTGTATCTTAACTTGATGTTAGTTGCGATTCGGGTATGGGAGACTTGTCCATTGGAATCATGACTGTTTCGAGCAAACTACCGTTTTTAAATTTTCGGGGTTGCTCCAACCTAACTGACAAAAATGGGCAATTCGTCAGAACGGTTGCTATTAAAACGTATAATACTGCCACTCAGTATGCTCAGTATAAAAGTAACACATATTTTTATTAATAGTAATCATCTCGATATACAGTACTTAATTAATGATATATAAAAAAAAGTAAATTAGTAAAATTTGTACATATTGCACTTTTCAATAAGTCTAAATATTATATAGTTCACTCGTAGTAGGAATGGACTCTTTTGTGTGCAAGCAGGCACAAGAAAGAATTGCGTTTTTCCGGAAGTCCTGCTCGGACAAAAGATGCGAAAACACAATAAGATGCAAACTTATAATTGGTATGAAACCTGATTTAAAACCAGTTATTTACAATTATCATACATACTTAAAGATTCCTAATGAAATCGTTACTATGAACCGAGAGATTGACGGAGTCGTCCAATTTAATCTGCTGGCTAGAATCACACCGGTCCGAATTTCCATGCTACTTTGTCATGTAATAACACTGATAACTCAAGTAAAAAAATCCCGGGCTGGGGCCTCCGTCGTCCCCTTCAGGCATCACGAATTGTATTTCGAGGCCAGACTTCGCCCCCGCCCGAGACCCTATCGTAACATGTACACAATAATAATCCATGCAGTCGCTATACATTTAATACGAAAAAATCTATCGTAGTTGAAGTGAATGGCAGTCGAACAAATTTGGCAGTGACTCAACGTTTACATATTAGAAAAATCATTTGTGCCTGATTTGAATTGATCCGAAACAAACGGACTGCATGGACGCAGACATCGAGTGAGACACTAGGTATGTGATTATCATGATGATGGATGAGTGAGAGAGAGACAGAGCCACTGTTGGCAGTGAGAAACTAAAGGAGCCAACCGTTACAAATATTACAACAAGAAGTTCCTGAAACTTTGTACCATTAAAATTTTTACACTTTTGTACGCTTCTCCACTACTATCTAGAATTTTCTCGAAGGCCTTTACATTTAATTACCATCTAAAATTACGCCCGCCCAACGAAGACGTAACTTTAATCGCAGCACCGATCAGCCACGAACAAGGGACTGGAACCACCAAACCAACCTCAGTCCGGCAGCCACCAAATCAACGCACCACAAAAAATAATAACCCAATCCTGAATTCAAAGTATTTTCTTAATATTATATTGGAAAATGAATCTTAAATACAGTTTATAGCCACGCAAAGATATATTACAAATTTTAGGGCCTGTTTACAGTTGGAGACAAAATACTTTGGTCGTCACTTTTCTGACATTTTAATGTAATTCAAGCTTTAACGTTAAAATAAATGACAATTTCAAATTGATGACAGCTATTATATTTTTCTATCAAAAATATGTACAACTTGTCAACTATGATTGACAGTAGCTAAAAATAAAGTTAACAGACCTAAAGCATGCTTTACAATTTAATGTCACTCAAGTGACATTTGACGACCAAAGTATTTTGTCTCCAACTGTACAGAACATTAATTGATATTAAATTTTAATTCGCAACTAATTTGACGTTTAGTAATTATACTACATAACATAGATCATTCAAAATTTTTTCATAAAAATCTTATTCCTTAATAAAATTTTGATTCTAAAAACAACGAAAACAAACTTAAAAGCTCCACGTTGTATATTATCAATATTACATTAGATCAGTGTTGTTGCAACGTGTGAAAACAATGTCATGAGATAATTCTCATATTGAAATTTTTTATCTGAAAAAATAAATAAGAAACGGGCAAAATGGTTAGCAATTTCCTGCGGTTTAATTGCAATTTTGAAATCGGTTAAAAAAATCAAAACTGACAAGACCTTTATGTCAGGATTTAATTAAACGATTTGCTTGTTCCCACAACAAATAACAGCTTGCTGAAATACAAAAGAAACGTGACAGGTTCGTGATTATGCGATAATGTTTGAGTATTTGTATGCTATGTATTAGCATAATTCCAAATTGATAAAAATAGAGAAATATTTTTTTTTTTCAATACTCTGTTACGACTCGTGATATTCCATGACGTTTCATAGCCACTGGGCTTGTGTTTATTATATAAATGAAACAATCTGTTTAACATCCAAAATCAATAAAATAAAGTTAAACAAATTTTTTTAAATGATGATGTGTTGTATATTAATAGATGCCGGTTCAGGGTCGTTCATAGCACCTTGCACTTTAGAATACAATGCTAAAATGATAAGATTAGGTTTTGAGATCCTTGTGAAAATATGGAAGGATAAATCAGCGTCTTATTGGTGGATTCCAGTCAGGATGGTTGACTCCCGGTGTTAACTAAACCGTGTGCTTGGTGGCAAGGCAATAGATGGCGCGCGCGAAATGAAATAATAATAATTCAGTGTCCAACAAAAATACTTCTGTCTCTGTATGTTTATGAAAATATGTTTCTATCTACAATTGATGAAAAATATGTCGTTATAATTACGAGCGCATCTAGCAGCAGAATACGAATGCAGAAACTATACAGTACAGTATAAAAATGAGTAGGCTACAACTACACATCGAAGAGTTAAACATCAATAGTTTGTAAAGGCAGGATAGTCTGTTGTATAGTGTGGTTATACGTATGTATGACAGGATGCCCGGGTAAAATGGCACGAGTCCTCGTTCACTGTTAGATCCGAATCACTTCACGTTTTCACTATTTTGGATTATAGCGGACGGCTGCTTCTTTGTTAAAAATTATTATTGTTTGAAGTAATTCTGCCTCCTTTGCCGTAGATTTGGTGCTTTTGACGTCTAAACGATTCGTTTGTTAATTTGAAATAAAATTAAATTGCACTTTTTCAATAATTTCAGATCATTTCCAGTCGGCCTAACTCTACTGGCATTGTAATTGTCATAATTTGCACCTGCCCTCAGTCGTATGATCCGTATTTCAAGTGAAGGCACCTCTGTTAAGTCAGTCCGGTCCAGTCTTACCAATTAAGTAAGCAAATTGCCAAGATAAAGTGTTTTACAAAAGTCGCAGAGTTTATACAGGCATTTATAAAATCTACTTAATAGTTTGATTCATCGAGTAATATTCTCTATGTAATTATCTAAATAAATCTATGCTCAGTAATAACATTTTCTCTAGATGCCGTCCAACATTCGTTTAATAATTAATTAATAAAAAAAATTTACATTATTTCACAGCCAACTTTCGGTGGTGAGCCGATCCACTGCCATTATTAAGTCGTATTCGAAATCCGCTTTCCAAACAGCAGCAAACATCCACCTGTCGGTACGTCACCTCTACTATGTTTTCAAGTCGACGTCCCAGATTTCCGCCAGGAACGGCGGCAGTTTTTTATTTTTCAGTTTTAACGAGAAGCACATCTCGGAATTTTGGTTGCCTAATGTCCGCAATTCGGTTAGTACTGACAGGAGTTTCGCGAATATCGTGCCCGGTTTAGGCTTTCTCCGGTTGTCGACGTACGCCCGCAGCGCCTCCAAGTAGATCTCCTGGATCTTCTCCACCTTCCAGCCTTCAATCAGCGCTGGACGCTCTGAAACAGATAAACACAAAAATTGTTGACATGTTCTTCGACACATAAAATAAATCAATGATCCAAGGCCTAAATAAAACATCATGCTACTGGGAACTTCTAAATATTTAGAATCGACGGCCAAACAATCACACAGTCTCGAGGTAACGCATAAAAATTCGCATTATTCAATGCTACGGCTTGGATTTCGCAAAGATTGGCAAAACAAATCAGGACAGAATAGACAATTGAGGACAACCGTGGGCGACTTCTTTTATAATACCACCTATTTTTTTCACATTTAACCCTGTTTGGTCGTAATTTTCTAGAACCACGTTTTTTAAGTCAAATAAATGAAACTTCAGCCTTCTTTAAACTCATAGGAAAAATTAATACCTAAATCTAGCTTTAAAAGTCGTAATTTTTATTATTACTCAAACCACTCATAGTCGAGTCAATTATTAAGTTTTAGAACGCATTTGTAACTTCAGGATTTTATTTGGGTTAGTTAAAAGAGAAATATACTAAAAGTTATCAGAGTTCAGTAAAGTACCAAGAAGGTGCCGTTTATGTATGTGTAAATTTCTACAAGATGGTCTTCTGACGTTTTTTGATTTCAAATAATTATCAGAGATACACTGGCGGACACGGAATTTTGGACATCAAATTTATGTCAGTTTCAAAAATGTCAATGTAAGTCACGCTTTATTGTCAATATGATTGACGTTTGAAACTAAAATTCAAAAGTTTTAGTAGCCAGCAATACGTGTTTTTATATAAGTTCAATAAATTATTTTGATTTGTTGTCACTTTTTCTCTAGAAATCAGGATAAAAATTACAAAAACCGAAAGTGAGGTTAGTTGCCTAAGGCCCGTGTTACATTTTTATGTCACTCGAATGACAAATCGTCCAAAATTCCGTGTCCGCCAGTGTATTAACTAGCGAATATCACACTCTCTAAAAAACAAGTAATGGATTAACGTAAGGATTATTGTAAAAGTTGTACGCATTGTGATTGGGCCGTTCAAGATCGGCCATTATAATAATATAAAGGACCAATCACTTTAGCCTGTTGGATTCATTCAAAATTCAATGCAATCATGTGATTGGTCCGTTTGAGGTCGGCCATTATAATAAGATAAAAAGCCAATCACTTTAAATTTTACATTCATTCAAAAATAGCGAAATTGGTCAACTTAGACTTTCATCCATTCATTAAAATAATTCCAGTTTTTAATGAAAATGACTATCTGTCCTTAATGCACTTTCTATTGTGAGTATTATGAAGGAGAATTTGCACCTTAAAATAGTGTTTTTTTGAAGTAGTGTTTTACCCATCCTGCGTGCTTACAAATACAACATAAATTGGCGACGAGGAAATACAAATTTTCTTCGAATTTAATCATTTTCATGCAATAAGTGAAGCATAACCTCACTTTCTTAAAGGTAAGTACAAAGAAATTATTTGCTACAAGTTACAACAGCCTACAGTACAATTTGCAACCAATATTCTATCACAATCACTTCTGTCTTGTGTTGCAAAGATGATGCAGAGTATTGATTTTTTTTWAAGCGCTGCGATACTTGCTAGCACATATTTCGAAAACTATTTAAGATTAAAAAAAACCGACAAGACCGTCTTGCAGGAAATTTTACTTTGTATATAACCCCTTTTTTTTCATAACAGGCACCGTTTTTAGATATAAGCGAGAAAAAAACGGTACCTTCTTAGTACTCTCCAGGACACCGCTCACTTATGGAGAATCGGATTTTTTTAAATAACAATAATAATTTAATAATAATATTTTTTTATGTTTACCTTCTATCTAGTCCAAACATAGCCCTGAAGTTAAAAATTCTGTTCCCATCAACCAGGTATTCTACTCCTTTTTGAGCGTTCATTGACAGGCATCTCACACAAAATAACTGATCAGTAATTTCTTCGGCACAAAATGTTTATTTTTTGTTCTTTGAAACCTTGACTTTTCCAAATTTTTTTCTCCAATATTTTGTCAAATCAATTTATTTAATTTTTTTTGTTAGTCGAAATTGAAAACAGGTTTTTGAAAATCAACAATTTGATCATTTAATAAATTTCACCGTGAAGTTAAGAAAAGAAGTGAACGCAAAATACGGAAAGTTATGTTTCTAGATCTCTAAAAACACAGTGATGATTTAAAAAACACTAAACTTATGTTTGATTTTCTCAATAAATAACAATCATAATGGAGCTGTTATCAAATCGTCAACTTCTTTTTTTCGAAACAAATGAATATATTAAATAAAATTATTCCAATTCCAAGCCAACTCTGATTACTGGTTAGTGATTATCAATTTCTTTAGCAAAACATAAATAATAAAGTGTAAAAATGCTTAACAGAGAATATAGCACACGATTTCAAAAGTGAATAAATTATGCTTGTTCAGGATAATTTATTGAAAACAAATTATTCATTGCTTTAAGAATTTCATAACTATTTACATGAAACAGCGATTTGTCAATTTATCATCAATGTATATAAAGTTAAATAAATACCGAACTGTCAACATAAACTGCCCAATTTTTGAACAAAATATCAAATGGTCGTCTCACCCACGTAAAAACTCTCGTGCGTTATATTTTTAAAACGTGCTGTAAAACCTCTGCATTATTTATTTTCGCCCCCGTCATGCGAGAAAATCGCTTTCCATTGAAAATTTTCATCATATCGTAAAGTTTCGACATAAAATTCGTATCTCCACGCAATCTTCTCGACCGATTGCATGTCGCACAATCGGCTTTTCTGCATCACGGGAGCGACTTTTTCGCCGATTAGCGCAAACGGAGGCGAGTGTTCGAATTCAGCAACAATTAACATCACGACGCAATTGTCTAGCTCTATTATCATCCCGTTGAATAGAACCGATCGCTCACCTTTGCTACTTAGTCGACAACAAAAGACTTCCATCTTATACACATCGTTTTTTCGCGATGTTGCCAATTACACGGTTCGAGTCWTTATTCATTGAAAAGTCGCCAAATTCTCGAGTGTGAAAACATCAATATGGTTGGTGACCTTCGGTACTTCACCGTGACTGTAATGATTTTTTCCAAGGTTTTCGACGATACACGTGGATTTACAAATAGCCGAAATGACTACTCATACAGCCCACTTTCAATTATTCCTATTTTTGTAATCATCGACAACGGAATTGCTTAATGAAAATAAAAATGATTGAATGAAAAATAATTGCGAGGTAATCTTGTTGATAAGACCTAAATTGTAAACACAATAGTTGGGTTATAAGCAATCACTTCTACTGAGCAAAATTGACTGGGAAAAATAGTTTTTGTGATTGAAATAATACCTGAGAATATTACGATGGCGGTGAGTAAGGCGTATTCGGCATTGTCCACCTTCATCGAATACATTGTTCTGCAGAAATGCAAGAGATCTTCGATGGTTTCCCCCATTCCAGCCAAATTATAGCTGTCTCTTGAATATGGTTGGTTATTTACGAAGAGGATGGAATCCGTTTGTACGTCGTAACGTCGAGCCATCCTGAACATCATCACTTCACTGGAACATGCCTGAAAATGACCAATTTCTCACATTTAATCGTCGCCCAAAATGCATACATCATGTATTTTACTAGTTTCACAGGACAAGTCAGAATGCAAATCATATGCCATACAATAAATTATTTCAAGACAAAATTATTCTACTTGTTTCTGGGTCTCTTTCTTAACTGCAATTTCAAACAAGAAATTTACTATTCTATWATCGAAAATCGTATTTTCAGGCTCAAGTTTTACTTTTCAAACTTTACTAACCTTACCATTTTTAATAAAATACATACTCGTATTACAATTTTAATATTCTACGCGAAATTTACTTTCTAAAAATAAATATCCTGAATTTATTTAAATCCGGAATTCGTTTTATATTGCCTACTTGAAAATCTAAAATTTAAACTCTTCGATTTGTACATCTAGAACTCCCACAAAAATTCTGTATTCTATTTTTTCAGGCTTGGATCGACAATTCTGAAATTTAGACAGTCAATTTCCAAACTAAGCTAAGTTTCAGTTTCAAAAAGCGAAATTAGCAAACTTAAACTTAAAATTATTGACTTGTAATCTTAAAATTAAAATTACACTTTTCAAGCGTGAAATTTTGATTTTTAAACAAAACTCAAATTTTTAATTTTGAAAATCTTTAACAAAAAATTCCTTTTTTACTTTTTTGTTGATCATTTTTTTTATAAAACTATAGTAAGTATCTCAGCTTAAATTCAAAATTCATATTTAAAATTGAAATAAATGTATTTACCCGAAATATAGTTCAACTAGATTAATATGTATAGGGAGAAAAAAATAAAATCTCAGCCAAAACATTCTGGCACTTACCGACCACTAAGTTGATGATTCCCTGACAAATTGACGAATTTTGCTATTCATTTTAACACTATAAATCCTCTTTTTAAATTCGGAATTCTGACTTTCGTTAAAGCTTGCATTATGAATTTTYAAATTGCCCAGAATTTCGAATAACAAACTGATATTTCTTTTTACATTCGAAATTTTGAAAATCAAGATTAAAACTCAAATTGAAAACACATTAATTTAGACTTCTGAAAAAAACTCACCATTGCAGTCAGAGTTATAAAATTCATATAAAACTCGATTAAAGTTTTAATTAAAAAGTTCTAGAAATCCAACTTCAAATTTTAAACTCAAAAATTCTGTTATATTAATCCCAAAGCTCAAGCTTTTCCGTAAATTGACAATTTTGCAGACAATAATAAAGCTAATACTAAGTGAGAATTTCAACTTAAAAACTGAAAATTTTGATTTTCTCCTTAGGAATTGAAAATTTGAAAAATGCGAGATATTAATTAACCCAAAATAAAATTGTAGGTAAGCTCAAAATTTAAGTTTTATGAAAAATTCAAGTCTCTTCTACGCCTTGTTTTTATTTGCAATATTGAAATTCGCTTTTTAAACACAAATCTTTGCAACTTACTTTCAAGAGAGCGATCTGGTCCTCCCTTAAGAGTTTGTCAAAGCCTGGTAACCGCTTGGCAAACTCTACGATAAGTTGCACCGTCAAGATAGTAATTTCCGTGATATGCCTAAACCGAACATCACATTGATCTTCGCCATCCATCGGCTGGTTCTGTAATCAATTACCAGAAGTTAAAATAATATTTTTAAGAAAATTGTAATTTTATTACAATGATCCGTTTAACGTCTTCCTCAGACGGATGTTCGTATTCATTCTGGAAATAAACCAGTCGATGTATGAGCTCCTCTTGCTCCGGCGAAATTCCTTTACTTCCATTACACAATGTCTTTTCTGAATCTGACAACTGCGAAGCGAAAGCACATTGAAGAAATTGAAGATCTCTTGCTGATCTACAATTACTTACTTCTGGTTCAACCTTGATGACGTCCGGTGAGCCATTTGTTGTGCTATTCGGCTTATCTTTTTCTTTTTGGGCTTTCTTCTCCTTTCGCTTGACGGCGCACTGTACTTCCGGCACGACACATTCCGGCCTCATCCCGACGCTGAGGCACTTTTTCAACCGACACTCCTGACACTTTCGTCTCATATACATGTCTATTTCGCAATTGTTGCCGTATTTGCATTGATACACTGCGTTCTTCGTTATGCTGCGTCGGAAGAAGCCCTTGCAGCCCTCGCAGGTGAGGGCGTTGTAGTGGTAACCGGAGGCTCTGTCGCCGCACACGAGACATAGCTCTTCCTGCTGCCGAGGCGTCGGACCTTTTTTCTTCTTGGAGTCGCAACTGTCAGCGCTGTAGCCATTCAAGCTGCTGGGGGACAAGTCCTCGCGTCCTTTAACAAAATAAAACTTATTTTACAACAAGATTCGACATAATGATTGATGCGTGATTTTAATTGAAAACAGAGGATGCTGAGTCATTATACGTGATTTTTGGACGTAATTGACGAAACGAATCGTTCAAGGACAAGCAGGATGCGAAGAACTGGTTAAACCTGAATTACGACGACACGAAGACGAGATTTGATAAACAATAGAAAAAAATCGAGGGTACTTATTGAAGAAGAAAGTCATCGTGGAAACATTATGCAATACAAACCAACCTTTGAAATTTAAGTGTGCTATAATCGCTTGAGCAATTTTAATTTTTTTCGGGCTACAATCATGTTTATTATAATGTTGAATTCCGAAAAATATWTTTTTTTTTATTTTATTACCTACACTATACAGGCTGTTCCGTTTTTATTGTTACAAATTTATCTAGGAGATAAGGAGTGCGTCTTTTAAAGTATTTTTTCCAATATTTTCGAAACCATTTTAGATAAATTATGAAATTTGATACAGATGATAACCTCTATACACCTAAACGAATTCAAAGACAAAATGTTGAAATTTTTAATAAGGGGCTTCCTAAACTGGGTGGTTTTACGGTAAAAAGTATTCTAGTAGCTATTTTGGCTGTAGTTTTTGCCACTTTCAGCAACACAATTCTAAATTTCATAGTTTTTCATAAAAAAGTATTTTGCGTCAAAAAAAATATTTAGTACTAATAATCTAAATGTAAATTTATTACATTCGTAATAAAAGAATTGTTAACAATAAAATTCTTTAATTTGTATATTAATAAACATAAAAAAATGAAAAACCAAAGCTGGTTTGTACTAGATTCGTTAAAGTAGGAAAAATATTATTTTATAGTATCATTTCTAGTTTTCGTGTAATTCATATAAGAATTTAAAAAACTAGTCAAAATCGACCAATAAAATCTTAAAAACGTCAATTTATGAAAACATTATCTAAAACTGCATTTTTGCAAAAAATATACAATGTTTCTTTAAAAAACAAGTTATATTCAGACCATGGTTTACCGGAAATTGACATTTTGTTTTTCACCAAAGTCAGTTAAGTTGGTAATTCTTACACTAATAAAGTTTATCAAATACCAACTTAAAAAATAAAGCACAGTCAAAGACGTCATCAATTATTTATTCCACGATTTTACAAATTACAATTGTGGCCAAAAAACAGTTTTTCTACAATATAAATTTGTTTTTGATTAATTATTGTCAATTAGTTGTCACTGTCAATTGATGTCCATTGATAAAATGTCAAACTAGTAATCACTTATTTCGACCTTTTTAATTATGAAGCAATTTGACATTTTTTTTTTATTTCTCATTTTATGTTTCTAAATTATACACCAATGTGTTATTACTAAACAAAAAAAGAAGGTACCTAAATGATAATGATAATGACTTTTGGAAATATCTATAAATGTGCCCTTGAAACATTCCCCAAAACTATTTTTAGAAAGAGCAAAGGTGCGAATTTGCCAAAAAGTGTAAAACTAATTTGAATAACTAATTAAAAAAAATATCAAAAGATCTCTTCGCATATTTAACAAAATTCATGTTGTCCTTGGTTAGTATAGTGGGTGRCCCAAATCCATTATTAGCTAAAGATGATAATTTATCSAATTTTCGTGCGAATTTAAACTTGACATATAACCCTGCAAGAATGTCAATGCCGAAATTGTCCATGCAGAACCGAAATGCCACCTAACAGGAATTTCTACAAGAATAATATTCTTCACCGTGTCATTGGAAATGCTAAAATCTGCCAATAAACAAGCACGAAAAATGGCGGAAGCATTTGAATAAATTCGCAAGTAGCAAACACTCCACTCCCAAGATTCCTGCTCAGCACCTGCACGTGAATTAATTTCAATATTTGCATCTCCGATCGATTTTAGCCAATTTCAATACGCATATGAAAATAAAGCCTTAGACACAATAGCGAGATTCTTCTCGTCTATGCGATTCGAATTGTGCGTTGTTATTTATTTGAAAATGTCGATTTTTAAGCACAAAATGCGTCATCTGTTCTGTTGTTGCAGTCGGAATCAACGACCCAGAGTCGCGGCTGTGAACGCGGCTTCAAGACGTGATCACGAAACGTGTGGAAGTTTCGCAACAAGTCAAGGCCGCTCACTGCCTTCGGTCATCCTGCAAACACTGTGAGCCCCCTCTAGATCGCCTGCAGTTGAGGCCAACAACACATTGATCTACATACACAGTGATGCCGATATTATTGGGCCGCACGCGACCCAAACCTCAATTCGCCGAAAAATCGTCAAAACCACCAGAAAAACTACTTTTTTGAATGCTTTTGGGCTAAAGAACTTTTTTGAGCTCATATTTCACCAATTCTGAAGTCCGATTCATGCCAAAGTCCCTAAAGGCCTAATTATCCCCCCCTACCCATACAAGAGTGTCATTAATCACCGCTCACGCTTAATCAATCAAAGGTAAGTTTATGTTTATGTCGTCGACATGAGTCGGGGGCCAAGGAACGTCCTTCTCTTTTTCTGCGAAACTTAAACAAGTTAGCGACCGGAATAGCTAATTTGCTACTACAATAGTCGATGACTGGTCACTGTCCAAACAAAAAAACTGTTGCAAAATTGTCAACAAATTCAGAAAATACTTGTGCAAGRCGGATTTTCGATTAAAATCGATTTTTGTCGTCGACCTTGGAAGTCCCCCAAAYAGGCGGTAAACCGCCGACGCTTGGCCTTTCCGTGGACTGACACATATTGAAAGGACCTGGGGCCATCACCAAAAGTAGAGAAAGTAGTCGCCGTATACGAATTTCCGTTCAAAATGCGCTTGACTCTCATTTTCTCGTGGCATTTCAAATAGATCCAGCAATGACCGTGACACGACTTCACCCATCGACCAGATGACGCAGTTACGTCATATCGCCGATGGGTGAAAATATGGGTGGTGGTCGAGGACAGTGACGGAACTGAGAGAAAACAAAGCGATTAAACAAAGAAAAACTACAGAATTTTCATTTCGACATTTTTTTTTCTATACTTGAAATTATAATTTCAAAAATTTAGGACTTTACTAACTTTTCTCCATTTGATAGCATTTATCACAACTGCAACTAGTTTTCAAACTCGGAATTACATTTCCTAAAAAATTCAATTGAAAAACTCAAAACTTTTTGAACTTTTAAAATCAAACTTCTTATATGAAAACGCAAAAAAAAACACAAAAAAAACGATTTCCAAAATCTGCTAATTAAAATAAAGAAATTAAAATCTAAAACTGTTACTAATTTACAAGAATTCAAATTTTCAACCTCGAGATTATTAATTAAAAATTAAAAATTTACAAAAGCTGAAATGTATTTTAAATTCTGAAAAATTTGGAACTTTCATTCAGTTCCAATTGCTGAAATAACAATCACAGTTTCCAAATTCAAAATAAATTCTTTTCCAACTCAAAAATTGGAGTAAGAATTCAGGTACATACATATTAATTTTGAACTAGGAATTCCATGAAGACCTGAAATCTAGGTAAATTCTTAAGTTTTAAGTCATTAACACAATTCCGAATTTATCACAAAAATCGAAATCCCAATATCAGACCAAAAATTATTGATTATTATGCAAGGCAAAATTCTCCTTACGTAAATTTAACTTTTCGCTCTTTCAACAAAAATTATAACTTACAACTTTCCACCATTTACAACCCTAACTTAATCCGTTTTAAATCATAAGAATTCTGTATATAATGTTAAGGCATTCTTATATTTACTTGATTTAAATTTCAAAACTACTAAATGAATGAAAAGTTTATAATCCCTCAAAAATACAAAAAAGCAAAAATATGCTTCATAAGCTAGATACTCTACAAGTTCTCGATTTTCTTTTATAAAAATTGTGATTGACATATAATTCAAGCATAGTAATATTTGTTATGTAGTCCTTCTTCTTCTAAGCCATAAAAGAGTCCAACTGTTTGAAAATGTAAAAATTTAATAATATTGTGAAAATAAATCACGTCCTCAGATCCAAGGAACAAGGTTGAAAAATAATTGGTGGAGAAAAATTTCAGTCCACCCCTGTTTTGAAAYAGCGCCGCTGCTTGTTGCGCAATTGCGTGGATAGATACGCCATTATAGTAGAAAGGATTGCGCCGTGATTTATATCTAAACTTTAATTACATCAATGGCCTTCAACCTGAACTTAAACACACTCATTGTTCACATCCGCTCAGTGCAACGCCGCAACTAACAACTCAGTATAAAGTTAATTCATTTTTTTTCAAAGAGAAAAGACAAAATCTCCTTCTGATGGACGTATTGAAATGCAATGCACACGTAACTCGCCTTCTCACGATTGTGCTGTCGAGCGTGATGGCCACTAAACACGCTTTTGTCAATGTTACAAACAACGAAAAATGAAAAGTTCATGCATGGTAATGGAACGGTGGGTATATCGTGTTGTATTCCTCCGACCGACGAAAATCATTACGGCATGCCTTCTATTGTCCACGACGACAACAAAAAACGAATTTAATAATAATAACGTTCAAGGTGAGTTATTTCCTCCTTCGAATTTATTGCTACTACTGACAGGACCCGGATCAAAGCCCCAATTACAAGTGTAACTATAGGAACGTTTCGGATGATTTCTCAGATGAAAATTGGAAGTCTTCGCGGCCTTCAACGCTTCGATAAGCCACGCGTTTCAAACGACCTTACAAACGACAAAAAATACTCAGGTTCAAAAGTTACAAACTTGACTGCACGRTCCCCAATTCCAAAATAAAATCACAAACAAACAAGTATTTCACCGACACTTTTAACTACATAGGCATTTCAACTTAACTGATATAATGCTCCAATATACCATCAAGGATTTATAATATTTTTTAATACATATTGAACCACCTAACAAAAAAGCAAATGCTACAGTTCGTACACTTTCAAATAAAAAAAATCTGAAGCGGTTCCGTGTATTTGCCGTTTGCTTTTAAAT